CATGAAAGGCAAAATAAAAGAAAACAAAGCAAAGCAAAAAAAAAAAAAAAATTCAAGCATCTATTTGTGTATGCAGTCAGTTGTGACAGCAACATACTGCATTACCAGCAGGGGCCTGGTCCTGGCCTCCTGCTCCACACTGGGTTTCATTTTCCTCCTGGGTAGTTCCCTAGATAACCCTCCTGTCAGGATTCAACTCCCTCCAAAAGCAGCCAGGGATGAAATGTCCAGATGCTGGAAGGAAGAGACATGATAAAATACCTGCAGAACCTAGGCACCATGTCTACCTTTGTACAGAGTACCATGTGGACCTCAACACGTGAGGCCTTCCAGTATTCCTGCTGTGTCTCACTTCTAATTGTTAATACACAGAATATCTCACCCAGTATGTTATGGTACACAACTGAAGTTTAATAAATTATGATTTTGGTGATAAGAATGCTGAGTATAAAGATTTTAACTCTGAATGAATAAGGAAGGCCATTTATAACTATCATTCAGAATAAGCTTCCTCTCAGAGGGAGAATCATTTTAATAGAGGTTGTACTTGCTGGAAACAAGAACCACAGGCAGTGCCCCCTGCCTTTTTGTGGTACTGTTGTGGTCATTTCAGTGAACCTCAAAATTAAGTCTATGCCTCATGATCTAGCTTCATTTCATCATGAGCTTTGATTCTAATAATCCTAGAAAACAGTTAAGAACTACAAGTCAAAAGTACAGCAAGGAAAACAAATCAGATCCAGTAACTATATGAAAGAGGCTATTTGCCAAGCTCACCCCATTAGCCCTTTGGTGTTTAAATGCTAAGTGCTCTACATTTCCTGTACTGGAGTAACTCAGGCAGTTTTCTTCTTTCCAATTTCAAACCAGATATTTCTTCCCAGTAGATTCCAGTGGGAGGAGAGGGAGGAACACATAGAAGTTGCAGGATTCCTGCTATTGACTAGTAGCACCAATTATTACTGCCACAAAAACATAATGCCACTGTCTCCATCACTGTGTCACCATTGCATTATCCTTATCCAACTATCTCCCAAGAGAAAATGCTGATGGCTTTTTTCAAAAACATTTCAAGTGCTCTTTCTGAGCCTTGGGAAACAGCTATCAAACTGAGCAGCCAAAAGTGGTGGGAATGGTGAGAAGGGGGATAAGGTGAGGTGTCCAGAGAAAAATGGCTGTGTCCCATAAGAATAATGAGAACAGTATGCAAAGGGCAGAAATGAGATGCCTAATCAATAAAGGCATCTCAATCATGGATACCAATAAGACTCAGAGATAAACATCAGGAAACGTATAATTCACCCTCCCTAAAGGAATGTTGTACATAGGACTTAATATGCTTCCATCTGACCCCCGGACACAGGGCATTGCCCAGACTCCACATGGAAATGGAAAGCTGGGCAGTCACCTGGGTTGAAAGAACAGAATGTTCTTCACTGCACTGTCATTCAGCTTCCAGGAATGCTGCATTTCAGTGGTGAGTAGTCATTCAGTAAAAAGTTCATCACAATCACAATAGAGAGACTGTCCAAGTATGCTAACGTTTCAAGAGATGCCATTTAGTTGAAATTTATGTCTTGCCTTCATGCTATATCACAGTGAAGAGAGAGGAAGTTAATATGTATAAGAAAAGATGGTTCTAGTTTTCCAGATGACTACATATCGAATCAAACTTTACTGGTATAAAACAATAAAGAGTTTACTTGGAGTTAATCCCTGTCTTGATTTCTGTAAGTTCTATGCTTCCCAGGGTAACTGCTTTATTCATGAGATTTTTATCTTTAGTTTCACAGGGCAAGTATTCTTTTTAAGGGTGCTGTGTGTCTTCTTGATTTGACTGGTATCAAGTAACGAGATAAAATTTCTCTGCTTTAAAATGATCCTGTATGACAAAATTTTGATGTGTGTCCTTATTGTTAAATTGAATTAAAAATTGGCCAGGCATGGCTCATGCCTGTAATCCCAGCATTTTGGGAGTCCAAGGTGGGCAGATCACTTGAGGCCAGGAGCTCAAGACCAGCCTGGCCAACATGGCAAAACCCTGTCTCTATTAAAAATACAAAAAATAGCCAGGCATGGTGATATGCACCTGTAATTCTAGCTACTCAGGAGGCTGAGGCACAAGAATCACTTGAATACAGGAGGTGGAGGTTGCAGTGAGCCAAGATCGTGCCACTGCACTCCAAGCTGGGTGACAAGTGAGACTCCATCTCAAGAAAGAAAGAAATATAAATAAATAAATAGTACTAAAATTGTATAACCATCAGGACTTTGTAATAAAATACAGGTTTACGTTTACAAATCAATTTAATTATAAAAGTCTTTTTACTCTTACCAGTTTTACTATTGTCTATTCAGAATATAACTACCCTTCTTCTAAGATGTATACATAACTTTAACAACTCAGCATTTTAAAGTCCAAGGGAAAGAACAACTTTCAAGTCATCAGCCACAACAGTCAGCAGGTAACTCCAACGCTCTGTCAGGTTATTCTTCACACACAGGTTGCCAAATGGGAACACTGCCTGGGCATACTTCTTCCTCAGACTCCTCGTGGTTACTACCAGGACCAAACTTAACACAAATGTGGCCAGCAGAAAATTCATTTTATGAAGTGATTTCAGAGGCATCCTTTCTCCTCACTCTGGTTGATTATCAAAATGCCACCACTAGCAGCCTTGCATTTTAGCTCAAGGTTTTCAACCCAGGTAGAAGTCAGATGTCCCAGGGGGAGAACGTACACATTAGAGTTAATGGGAAATGTGAGCAGTTTTTTTTGTGTGACACTGGATAAGGGCAGATAGAGGGCACTTCCCAAAGAGAAGGATGTGGAATGGGCCTGAGAGTTTGCAAACCACAGTGCACAATTGTGGCTGCACCTATTTTGTTGAATACCACAGCAAACCAGTGAATGTGGGAAAAACTACTGAAAACTCTAAGTAGCTATGAAAAAAAAACCTTAGCTATTCTGATCTCAGAGGCCAAATACTTGAAGAGCCTTGGGACATTCTGAGTATAAGTGTGCTTTAGAATTTTGGGAAGTTTCAGCCAGTCTTTGTAAGTCCAGAGAGACAAATTGGGAAGACTCTCAGTATTTAGTTTTGACAAGATGAAATCATTCACAAAACCATAAAATGAGGTATTTTAGTGGCTCTCACAGACAACTAAAAGCTCTCTTAGCCAATTAACAAAAGGCTAGCCAGAAAGATCAACAAGAAGTGTGTATTGAGAAAAGAAGAATAGAGCCTTTTCACTTGTTGTTCTACAAGACAGGGATTTTTCAATCAAATACCCTTCACATAATGGAAGAAAGAGAAAATAGTGGATCCAGCCAGAAAAAAACTCCCTTAGAACTACCTGAGAGTGGGCTAGGAAGTGGGAAAGCATCTGCTGTTGAGTCCAATGTTGCCACCTTAAAAGGGCAACATGGACTTCTTCACGGTGACCACTGTTTTTCCTGCTCACCAGAAAACACCAGTTTTACAAATAAACTCCCACCCTCAGTGTCTTATTACCACATAGATATCACACAATATATTACCTATGGAAGAATCTGCCATACCTTACTGCTGATACTACTAGTGCATTGGTAAGCCACCATACTTAACACCACTATGAGTAACTCCTAGTTTCTAACAACTGTAATCGGGTATATGTCCCTGTCAGATGGATGGTACTTATCATATTGCCTTACCTTGCAGGTGTTCTTTATGAAATAAGGACACTTGTAGAGGAGAGGGGTACATAAAAACTTTATAAAACAGGGCATTTTGCATCAAACAAAGGGAGCAATCAAACAAATGGCTCTTTCTCTTAAAAGGGCCATTTGTACAAAATTAAGGCTGTTTTGGTATTGGTCATAATTACCTAACACCGATTTTGCTAGTCTTTGCTATAATTTTCACTTTCCAGGGACTGTTGAAGCCAAACAAAATTTGTGCTATTTGATTTACAAAGCCACATTCTTAGTTTCCAGGCTACTAATTTGGGGATTTCTGATGGTATTTTGAAACACTGTAAGAACTAGTCATATGAAGTAAGTTTCAATACAACACAATGGAAGCAAATTCAGCTGAGGCATGAATCATTTCCTCTCAATTACAAAAGGACATCTCTATGGATCGACCTAAAAATTCTCGAGAATGAGGGACAAAAGACTCAAAGGATTTTACTATCTCAAAATCTTGTATACAATCTTTTTTCCTTAACTAAAATCCATGAGTTCATTTGTTAAATGAAATCAACAAGGTAAAGAACTAAATGTCTGAACAATCGTGCTCTCATAATTCCTTAAAAAAGCTATTATTGGTTGAGATACAGTTCTCTGAACTGTGTTCCAGATCTTCAAGTAAGATTATTTTTCATCAAATTCGCTACTATAATAGATGGCCTTTCACAAGGCCCCACAGGCCTAACAGGGTCCCTTCTAGGCCTGAGAAAGTGGAATGGCATAAGTAGGAATAGGGTGGACAACAAAGTAGGAAATAAGAAATGGGGAAGGAATATACAAAGTGGAAAGCACATTTAAACTTTCAAAAGAGATTTTTTATTCTTTGGACTCCACTGTGAGACAAGAAAAATCATTAATGGATGGTATAACTCTCAGGAGACTTTTGATATATAACTGAATCAAAAAGAAAATTATTTTCTTGTAAATGATTTCCTCTAATTTTTAATCTTTAGTTCCTTTAGAAACATTTTTACTAGGAGTGTTTTTCCTCCACTCTCTATTTTCTGGGTTTTGTGATTCATGATTTAGTAAAACAAAAATCTTATTACTGTGAAAGGACATGAGGGCTGGTTTTCTTGCCTATGTATTTGATCTATCTTCTTTGACACTGGTAAGATTAATGTTTTTGCATCTATGTTTCTACTCTTATTATACTCTCTGAATTGAAAAGTATTAAATATGGCAATAATATTACACAATCACATTATTTAATATTACAATTCTCATCTTTGACTATGAATTCAAATGTTTTAAGAAGACAAACTCTTACCTTTGAAGAAGCTCTTCTTATCTGAAGAAGTTGTTCTTCCTTTTAATTCTTCAAACCAAAGGTCTTCTTAGCATTGCTCTGTGGGTTAAGGTGTGGGGGAAATGTTAACAAGACATTGATTGTCATCAATCACAGCAGACTGTCAATACATTAACTCCAACTGACTCCCTGATGGGAAACACAATTAAAGAGAGAGCCCTGCAAGGAAGACAAATTATGACTTGATTTACTAAAACATATCTCTGCTGGCTTCGATCAAAAGTGACAGCAGAGAACTGACCAGAACTCTGGTGGACATCCCATTAAATGGATTCCAGTCTCGAGAGTCATGTCTGATTCCTCTTTACAGTTTACAGAAAGAAAGTGGTTTTTGTAATATATCTATACAGTGTGGATAAAATACTTTTTGCTATGGGCTTACTATTATTTAGATTTTTTTATTTGGTAGCATAGGAATTTTTTAGGTTATGTTTGAAAGGCCCCAAGTTTTCAACGAGGGTCATAAAGAGAAGCTGGGAACAGCCAAGATCTGAGGGGCAAGTTCCACCTGGGCTGTGACAAAAGCTCAGCGGTGGACAGCTCCCAAGCTCTGCAATCTCCAACTCGCCTGCAGTCAGCCTCGGTGCTTCCTTTGCAAATACTCCAGCTGAGAATCAGCCAGAGAAAGAGAGGAGGGACGGGGAGTAGAACAATCACAGCTGATCATATTAAGTTTCATTTTTTTAAACAACCGATTCAGTGACACCCAAGGTTTCTAAGGGAGGATTTGTGTCTTTTTGAACTTTGAATTTCTGGAACAGAAGTCATACTATCAACCCCTGAAAGACTCTTCAGAGAAGTGAAACAAGTGTCAATTAAGAAACTCTGGACTGCACTCAAATATTAGGACAACTATGAATTGCAAAATTATTCAGTTAATTTAAAAAAAGATGCTTAATAATCTCAACTGTTTTTGCTTATTTATGTGTTATAAAATATTCCCTGCATTAAGTTGCAAAAAAAGAAAACCACCATTGTTAATTACCTATAAAACCACCCTTAATAGATTTTCATTGCCTGTGAAGCAATGACATTTTATCTGGACAAAATATTAATATTGTGGAGGTTTGTGATTTTTCCTTGGAATTGGAACCAACTTTATAATAATATTCAGTTTTCACTTAAAAAAAAAAAACAACCTAGAGTTGTGTAGGACAGCATCTATAAGAATTGGAAGAGATAACTACAATAACAACTCAATTCAGCAAACTTATATTGAGCACTTAATATGTATCTTCCCATTCACTGGATAAATCTAAACAAGAAAAAAATAATAAAAGATAAATATTTCCTGCTTCCTACCATGAGGAATCTCAGGTCCACATACTGATGGATTCCTAAGTTTTAATAGTTTTTAGCATAATCCAATTCAGAGCAAAAAGCTCTAAAAAGCACATATATGTAATTTTGCACAACATAGTTCCATGGCATCATGTGGAAAAACTATTTCATCCTTGCTTATGTGTATTATTGATAGGGCATTGCTACATTTTTAACTTCTTCATGGTGATTTAAACCCTGAAGGTTTTGCAAAGACCACCAAAAGACTGTATTAATCGTATTACCATGTCGGCAATTATGCCAAACATTTCCAGGAAATGACTTTTGTTGCATTCATTATTCTTGTTTTGACAAATGTGTCAATGGGCTTTCATCATCCCAGAACCCATTTAGGTCAAGAGAATAGGGTAATACATCATTGCTAGGGACTATTTTTCCAATAACCAAGTAACAATTTAATTTTTTAATCAAAATGCAATCAACTTATCCTATTAAATAAAACCAGTCCTAAGTCAAAAGGTCAAGATAAGATTTGATGTATTTTTAAAGTAGCCTTCAGAAAAGACAAATAACATCTATGTGAAAAATGTAAGAAACCCAAAGGCCACAGTACATATAACAAACCAATTACAATAATAGTCATTCAATAGCATATAACATTAAAAAGTCAATAATTCTAAAAAGTGAATACTTGCCTTAGTCACTCACAGAAAAATAGAATAATAAACTTCCTAACTGCTCCAAAGTAAATTGCTATGGATTGGGGTACATTTTTTTCAGGACTTCTTTGGCAGAGAGAGGGTTGTTTGGTTTTAAAATGAGAAATCATAACATTCAATACAACTGAAAATCTGCTACTACAAGCAGTATTAGGTAAAACATATCAGCAAGCAAAAACTTGCAAAATCTCATTTGGCTTATACTTTCTGATATAACTGTAAGGATGTTAGAAATGTCTACTCTCTGGTTCTTGTGAGGCTGATTTCTAAAAAACGGCCTCCTTAATAATACAATAAAGGTTGGATTACATTAAAATATCAAGCCTTTTTGACCCCACCTCCAGTCAATTCTGTTTTCAATTATAACAATTATTTCCTGTTTACACTCTTCAAAATGAATACAGCTGGGAAATAGTTTTCAGAACATCAATTCTGAAAACTTTATATGCAAGAACATATTTATGTATTTGCACAAGTATGTATTTGTGCAACATGCAAAACCTTTTTGACGTTAATCACCATAAAATGACAGTAATTTATAAATTTATATTTAATCTTTGGTCTTAACAGGAATTTGACTAGCAGTAAAATCATACTAATCCCAAACTCTTTTTTTTCCCCCCTTAATTTCCTGCCTTTGATAAGATCCTTGGACTGAATTTGGGTTCTATTCATAGTTAACTGCAGAGAAAAGAATTTTAAAAACCACCTTGTTAAAACTGGCATTTATCTTTGGTTTCTCTAGGGTATGCCTGTCATCCAGCAGTTAATTCAGCTTGACATGGCTGGAAGCCAAAATCATCTTGAAACCCAGTTCTCCCATTACAGCAGCCTATGAAACAAAATACATTCCAAAAAGCAGAGAGTATGGTCTGAGATAAAGCAGGTTCTCCAACTATAGCTCTGCCAGATGGCAACCAGAGGGCCTTCTCTCGACCACAACCTAGGTGGCTGGGCTCCTGGGAACACACAGCCCTGGCTTCTGGCTCCACATTTAGCACCAAATTCAGCCTCCTCCTGCAAGACAAAGCTTTTTGGGATTTTGGACTGACCCCATGTTATACACCTTGTAAAAGTTGGGGAGGAGCAAGAAGGGATCCATCCTAGTAAGCAACTTGTGGACCATGCTTTACCTTTCAGAGAAATTAACACATTGGTCCTTGAAGACTGTAGACTGATCACTCACAGAAGCATCTGACTGTCTCAAGTGACACTATGATTTGCAATCTTGTAGACTGATGCAAACATCTAATAGTAAGCAAATTACACTGATAGAGGGCATGTTGGATATACATCACCTTACTGTCAGTGTGCTGGAAACCATGTTGTCATATACATGATTGTAGACTTCCATGGCACACAGTTGCTATGGTTTGAATATACTTTACAAAATTCATATGAGGGCCGGGCGTGGTGGCTCACACCTGTAATCCCAGCACTTCGGGACACTGTGGATCACGAGGTCAAGAGATTGAGACCATCCCAGCCAACATGGTGAAACCCCGTCTCTACTGAAAATTCAAAAATTAGCTGGGCGTGGTGGCATACGCCTGTAGTCCCAGCTACTTAGGAAGCTGAAGCAGGAGAATTGCTTGAACCCAGGAGGCGGAGGTTGCAGTGAGCCAAGATTGCACCACTGCACTCCAGCCTGGTGCCTGGCGACAGAGCAAGACTCTGTCTCCAAAAAAAAAAAAAAAAAAAAAAAAAAAAAATTCATATGAGAGCTTTGCCCTCATGCATGGATTCACGTCAATATTGTGGGAGTTGGTTTGTTATTACAAGAGTGGATTTATTATAAAAGTGAGTTTTTTCCTCCTCCTCTTGCTTTCATGTACACCCTCCCTTGCCCTCTCTCATCTCTCTGCCTTCTGCCACGGGATGATGTAGCAAGAAGGCCCTCACCAGATGCAGGTCCTTGACCTTGGACTTCTCTGCCTCCAAACTATGAACCAAATGCATTTATTTTCTTTATGAATTACCTAGTCTATACTACTCTGTTGCACAAAACAGACTGAGAGTTTAGTGCTTGGTATACCTCACGGTTTCATGAAAGTATAAATAGAAACCTAGAAGTTCAGTGTGCAGTAATGGCTAGCTGTCTAACAAAAAGTCATGCCCCCTTCTGTCACATAAGGTGGCAGTGGGGAAGAAGCTCCTGTCCAGGGTCTACATTTCCAGCTCCCCTTGTGTCTAGGTATGACTGTAATGTCTAAGAGAGCTAATCTGTGTCACTTCTTTGTTCAGATGTTTAAGAAGAAAAGAAGAAAATTTCCTACCCCTCCTATCTCTCCATTTCTGGCTGTATGTCAATGCTAGTGTAACCTGAGAAGTTGCAAGACATGGCCTTTGTCAGCTTGGGTCAAAAGTAGAGAGCCTTCCCTCCACATTCATGGTCTATCTCACTGACAGTGAACTGTTACATGCACTGAGAGGGAACTCTAATTGTGTGACATTTCCAGTTTGGGGGTTTGTTAGAATAGCTAGCTCTGCCCTATCTAATAGAGTCAGTATACTGTGAACATAGCAGAAACCTTAAATGAAATCTTGTCCTCACTGGTTCTTTTTCTATGTCTATAATCTAAGAGAAGATTTAATTTTAAATATGAGTATATTCAGAGCAAAACTGATTAAAGGGTATTAAATAAGTCCTTCATAGAAACAGTTAAAGTAACAGTGTTGACTTCACCTAGGGAAGAAAAAGCTCAAAGGAGTCTAGTTAAACTGTCAATTAATATATGAAGGTTCTAAAAATTTTGTATGGAAGATAGTGAGAAACTATTTTTCTAGTTCACTGAACATAAAACAAATACAGAAGGTCCTGTGTCATGGCTGAAAAGTAAAAGTATATCTAAGAAAATGGGGAAGACCAAGGTCAGGTGTGGTGGTTGATGCCTGCCTGTAATTCCAGCACTTTGAGAGGTTGAGACAGGTGCATCACTTGAGATCAGGAGTTTGAGATCAGCATAGCCAATATAGTGAAAGCCCATCTCTACTAAAAATACAAAAATTAGCTGGGTGTGGTGGCAGGCACCTGCAGTC